AACTTAAAACACTAAAAATTAATCACACTGATTCACTTTATTCCGCTCTGAAGCTTCGCTTGTCTCGCCAAATTCAATACTTCCTCGATCGCACCTTGCAGCGCCTATAAATACACATTAGTACCGAATCATCCAGAACATTCAAGTAAATACGCGCACCAATCGACAAAGCGCGGAAAGTTCGAGAGTCAGCTTCTAGAAGCTTAGTTCTTCGTTTCGACAACAGATGGCGCTGTCAGTTGAAAGATTAGTGATGTCATTTTCTGGAAAGCTCTCTCCTCGCTCTGTTACCCGACACTAGATGGTGCTAGTGCCAGATGTCAACTTAGGCACGTAACACTGCCCCTCCTAGACATGCTCGTCCCGAGCATTATCGGCCCCACAATAACGCGCCAAGCGATCCACATGGGCGATCTTAGGAGTCCCTCTTACGCCTTAAGGCGTCCTTAAGCGTCTCGTGGTGCCCGAGCCTCACAGCAGCTCTGACTTCCAGATCACGGATGCCGTCGATGAATGTCTGCACCAGGTTCCCTTCAATGAGCGCAGGTACAGACCGGTATGCTTTCCGCACCAGCTTCTCCATCTCTAGAGCCCACTGCTGCAGGTTTTCGTTGATGCGCTGCACGCGATCTTTAAGCTGCGCACGAAAGACGTGTTCCAGGTGAGCGTCGCCATATCTCACCTCCAATGCCTCAAGGAGTTGCTCATAAGTCACTTCCTCACCAAGGGCTTCCAGAACTGTTAAGGCCTGGTCGCGCAGGCCTAGTGTGAGAGCAGTCATGGCCTGACTTTTATTCCAGCCGTTCGCCTTCATAACAGCTACGAACTGGATTTTGTAGGCCGACCAGGGAGCAGTCCCGTCGAACGGTGGCACCTTGAACCCACGTAGCGAAGGTGTTGCAGCTACTACGGGAGCTGTAATTCCATCTCTCAGTTTGAGGTCATCCAGCGTTTTCTTCACGTCAGCCATCACGTTGTCAACCCGATTGTTCACTTGGTCGATTCGGGTTTCAGCTTTCTCGATTCGGGTTTCAGCTTTCGTGATTTGGGTTTCAGCTTCCGACAGGCGGTTATCATGCTGAGCAACCCTATCCTTCACCTCGTTTATCTCCTTCCCGAAGGTAGCGTGAAGGTCCTTCATGAGGAGCATTTGCTCTTCCAACCGACGGGCCTGTTCATACTGTCCGCTCTGCAGCTGCTCTTTCAACTGACGGACCTGTTCCTCCTGTCGGCGAGCCTGTTCCTCCTGTCGGCGAGCCTGTTCCTCCTGATGCTCTTTCAACAGACGGGCCTGTTCCTCTCGTCCGCGCTGCAGCTGCTCCTGTAGCATCGCCATCAGAGCACCTAAGTCAGGTGCTGCAGATGTAGGAGCTACTGACGGTCCCGCAGCCTCCGTGGCCGGCAGTTGGCCCTCCGACGTCTGCGGCGTTGCACCACCAAATCTCCTCTGGTCCGTCTCATGCTGTCGTTAACTGCGGGTACGGACACCCTCCGTTTCCTCCTTAGGTAAAATCGGCATGATTTTATCCCACTTCTGACACCAATTGTTACGACCTTGAGGTTCGTGACAATAAAAATTGCCGATAGAAATACCTAAATTAACACTTTAATTTTCTTTACAGTAATTAAAACTTAAAACACTAAAAATTAATCACGATTCACTTTATTCCGCTCCGAAGCTTCGCTTGTCTCGCCAAATTCACTGATCACAACTTGCAGCGCCTATAAATACACATTAGTACCGAATCATCCAGAACATTCAAGTAAATACGCGCACCAATCGACTAAGCGCCGAAAGCTCGAGAGTCAGCTTCTAGAAGCTTAGTCTCGAACAACGGATGGCACTGTCGGTTGAAAGATTAGTGATGTCATTTTCTGGAAAGCTCTCTCCTCGCTCTGTTACCCGACACTAGATGGCGCTAGTGCCAGATGTCAACTTAGGCGCGTAACAATATCGATACCATCGAAAATGAATGAATTGATTTTAACGCATTTGACACCGGCTTCTGTATATAAATTAATTGTTGAGGGTCATCCGCTCCTGTGATTAAATCATCGACATAGAAGTCTCTTCTCTTCTTGTATAATGTCTTTTATGAGTTCGTCGTCTTGCTCTTGCCCTAACTGCCCTAAACAACGTGTGCTGAGGCTGAGCTTGCACTTGCCATAGGTTACCGTGTTCAAAGCCGAAGTCTGAATGGATTGTCTGAATTGTCTGAATGGAAGTGACTCATTCTCCCTCCATAAGATTAGCTGTAAGTTCCTATCACTCTTATTCACTAATACCTGTCTGTACATTTTTCAATGTCGCCTGTAAGTAGGTACCTGTATTGTATAGCACGTATCAAGATGGAAAAGAGGGTATTTTGAACATTGGGGCCGATCATTAATATGTCATTCAGAGAATAGCCTGTAGTGGTGGGGGCAGAGCCGTTAAAAACCACACGGAGCTTGGTGGACTCGCTTTCCTGCCTATGACTGCATGATGACACAAATGGTAAGATGGGTTAGGGTTCGGTTCATTATTGTAATTGTTTATTGAAAGATGTCCTAAGTCAGAATACTCGTTTATGAATTTAACGTATTCGGATTTGAGAGTTGGGTTGCGTTTAAACCGTTTTTCTAGATTAATAAATCGTTTTTTGGCTAAATTGTAACTGTCACCCAAACACTCAACCGATTTTTTCAAAGGCAGTTTTACACAAAATCTACCTTCCTTATCTCGTATAGTATGAGCAAGAAAGTGACTTTCACATTCATTTTCAGGCTCATTCGTGCTACATTTAATGGGAACTTCTTCCAATTCCCAGAACTTGGACATTAATTGTTCAATATTTTCATTTTGTGATTTAGTGATAATTGCGTGGTTACAATGTATCTTTTTGCTGGATACTGTTGGATTTATTGGGCCAGATACTAACCAACAAAGATGTGAACTCCTTAACTTAGGACAATTGGGCCCTAGGTACTGTTGCTCATTGCCTAGAATGTCCCAGAAGATATCAGCACCTATCAATACACCTATGGGGGCTGGCTTATGAAACATAGGATCAGCCAACTTGATATTTGAGGGTAGTTTTAATGAGCTAATATCACCGGCATTTTTGTTATGTGACCGGTGAGTTCTTTTAACACAAAGCATGATAACATTGCACTAAACTTGCTATTTATTGATTTAATTTGAATATTACAACTTTCAATTACATGTTGAGATGAATTGTTACCGATGCCAATGACCTTTAGTGTGTCAATTTGACGGCTCGGTAAAGATAACCTGGTCTTTAGGGACTCAGAAATGAATGACGATTGGCTCCCGCAATCTAACAAAGCACGAACCTTAACCTTTTGCTGATCAAGTGGATTCGATACTTCAATCATTGCAGTAGATAATAAAACCTGATTTGTATTATGATTACGGTAATTAACGATAATCTCATCTTGTCCATCCGCGAGGGTGAGGTGGTTTAAAGAGGAAGACGGACGGTGGAGCAGACTGTTGTGGCGCTCTTTGCAGTCGCGCTCGCAACAAGGCCCCATGCGACACTCGCTTTCAGGGTGCGAGTCGCGTCCGGACCGCACTAGCAGGCGGTCACGTCCGTCGGTCGTCGGCTCCCTCCTGGGCGGGAGAAGTACAGCGCGTCGCTTCGCAGTGGGTGCACATGCTGTGGGGCCAACTCGGCTTGCGTCAAGCCTCGAGGACGCCCCTGACCCCGCCCGGGATGTTACGTACCCAACGCTGCGTATAACCTACATGCTGGGAAGCAAACTCCGAAGGCCCGGCGTGCTGCCGGAAGCGCGCGCCTGTTGGTGACTTCGGCTCCGCGTCGAGATGCGTCTCCGCGGGACTTGGAGGTTGCTGATCCTTCGGCAGATCCCTTCCCAGAGGCGCGAAATACGCCAACTTCTGCCTAGGGATCCACCAGGCCAGCCAGGAAGGAGCACTGGAGGCCCGGAGTGCTGTGCTATCTGGAGCGCACACCTGTCTGCAGGATTGGCCCTGCGTCGACTCCCTGTCCGCGGGACTCCGCGGGGCTTCGAGACTGCTGACCCTTTGGTAGCACCTACCTGGTGGCGCGCAATACGCCAAAGCAGATTGCCTACAATGTCGTACAATGTACGTCTTCCAAGACCGGCCCATATAAATGGGCTGTGAGGATTACCCGGGTAATGGGGAACACCCCGAGGCCCGAAACCTGCATGGGATAAACAAGAGTAGGCCCTTGTAGACGACAACACACTGCTTTCAGGGTGACCCTGCCTTAGGCAATTGACATACAATTTATACTTCGTTACGTCCATCATTCGCTCGTCAATCCCCTTAGCCCTAAATGTGGGGCAATCGTAGATTCTATGATGCTCGTTACAAATAATGCATGTAAATATGTTTGACTTTTTACTGTAATTATCGCTTGTGCTTGCAAATGTCTTTATGGTATTATTGTTTTGATGAAACTTTTGAGCGTAATTATAATTGTTATTAGATGTATGACGAATATTGCCCGAAGGGCCTTTTGAAATGTTATTTGTATTGGTCCTATTGTTACGACTTATTGACTCTAGTACATCGGCACGATCAATCAAAAATTTATAAAATTGTTCCAATGACGGTACATCACTCGTTAATGTATTGCGATATTCCTCCCATTTTAACCCTGAAGTGGTCGCGTGGACTACATATGTAATCCACCTATACAAAATCGATAATTTCTAACAATCGATTTGCGTTAACTTGTGGCGCCTCCAGGTACTTTCAAATGAATGATTGAGCGACGCACTCAGTGCAGCGTAAGCACAGGACTTCCTGTATATACTTATTATACTCTTTGCACAGGACTCGCGCGGTTGTGTCACAGGAGCTCAGTAAAGTGCGTGGACTACAATTGTAATCCGCGCGACCAATTACGTGAGTATTTTTTTTTTACATTGAATTATTATGTTTTCGTTTATTTTAGATAAATAATACTTTATTTTGTTCTGTTTTGTTAGATTATTGTAATATAATGTTTGTTTTTAGACAAAAAATGGACAATGCACGTGATGCACTAATTGAGTCGTGGCTGGCTGAAGTTGATGTCAGGAATGATGTTTATGAAGCTGAATCGAGCTCCAACGAAGAAGTTGATAATTTAGAAGAGGAAGATCATCATCAATCGGAATCTGAGCAAGAGCAAGACATACCAGGTGAGGGATCTGACGAAAGTTCTGAAGAAGATAATCCACCTCAGCAACGCCGCCGACGCACGGACTTTTACAGGGAAGTAGATGATACATTATGGTCGAAAACAGTTCACCTATACATATAGAGGTAGAATACGAAGTCATAATATAGTGTTTGTACCCCCTAGGGCCGAAAGGAACAGCTCGCAAAAAACAACCCTAGAAGACTGCATGTCACTGTTTTTTGATGATCATATCATCCACCTCATTACCAATTTGGAGCAAGTGAGTGCACTCAATGCATTGTGCGTTTACACGGCAAACAGAAATTACGAACATGTCAGCCGACGTGAGTCCCTTATTGACTTGTCTCGGGCATGGATGAAACCACTAGCGCAGTAGAGACTAGAAAAAAAAACATTGCCAAGAACACTCAAAATCAAAATCAAAGATTTTCTTGGTATTACGTACGCAGAAACTCACCCCACTACCTCGCAAGGTACATCGAGCAACGTTGTGCGCCGTTGCCATGTCTGTTGAAGAACGCGAAACAAAAGTACTAGAAAGATGTGCACCAAGTGCAGTAAGTTTGTATGTGGGAAGATCATTTAAAGATTATGTGTCTTTTCTGTGCAGAAAACAACATTTAGATATAAGTTTCAACTATTTTTATAAATTGTGATGTTAATTAGAACAATCCATGTGATTTTTGTGTCATTTTAGAGAAGATTTTTATTTTATTGATTATTTGTAACACAGAGGTTGTGATTTAATTGTGATAATTATGTTTAAAAAGAGAAAACTGTACTGATTTTATTTTTATTTAATTAATAAAAAGTTTATGAATAAATCTTTTGTTTTTTTTTTCAATTTGTATATGGATTACGTATGTAGTCCACGCGACCACTCATGAAACTTTTAGGGGCGCGACCACTGCAGGGTTAATAATGTAGTACTATCTAGCTTAGTCCTAGGCTAGACGAGGCGCGTAAGTTCTTGGTTACGTGATCGACCATAAATCTCAAAGACCGTTCCGATTCGCGTGTTAATTGTTTTACATTAAACAATGCGTTTAATTTATGATTAACTAATATTCTTTTGCTATCATATCTATTGCAAATCATTTTACATGCCTCAGTATAATTATTCGTTGACACTTCTATGTTGGAAATTATTCTGGCCGCGTCACCTTGCAAATAAGACACGATATAATGAAACTTATGAATATTTGAAATGGAATCATTTTTATGTATCAAATTCTCAAAGGTGTCCCGAAACTCCAGCCACCGGAAATAGGAACCATCAAATTTGGCAATTTGAATTTGAGGTAATTTCAAACCTGTCTCACGGCAACCAGGATCATCCACAAAACATAAGGCGTTGTGCACAGAGCTGCGCCTTTTTCGTATTCAAATTTTTTAGAAAATTTTCAACTAAAGTTTTGGCCTTAGCGATGTTTATTATTATCTCTTGCTCAATATTGTCGCGCTCCTCAATTTCAGCCGAAATATTTTCGTGATTAAAAACCTCTATTTCACTCTGCAAATCATCAACCTTAACGGATAACGCTTCTCAATTTGGTGAGTTTTAAACTTAACTCGGTAAATTGCACATTATCTAAATCCGTTTTACTGCTAATGCTATTTAAATAATTTTTAAACTTAGATATTTGCCCTTTTGCGGACACTCTTTTTGTAGTTCTGTTGATGAAGTCATTTTTAATAAACTTTAATTTTTATCTTCAAATAAGTTATAAATGCTTATTATTTAAATAGCAATGCAACTGTTAGAATAGTAAATAATAATGGCTCACGTTTCTCGTTCTGGCGGTACTTGCGTGCTGTACACAAGCTATACAGTGAAGCCGGCCGCGCACGTTCAGCGGATCGCTCCCGGTCGGTGCCGACACAATAGCGATTAGCGACTAACAACGAGCAGTGCTCCGCGGCAGTGTTTTCACTTTAATGATTCCCTTTCCCCACGCCTCAATTGAGATTTCCCCTTGTTGGCGACGCGCCTATTACAATATTTCAATTTATTAAGTCAACCGATGACGAATAACTTCTCAAAGGCATATTGTCCAATAGCAAGGTTCTGATAAGAAAATGCTTAGTTAAATCTTAAAGAAATGTCGAATGAATGATATGAAGGTCTTGGGTTCGACTCCCAGGCCGGACTAGTTTATTTGTTTTCCTAAGTAATATCGCTTAATAAATTCATAAGGAATTTAAGATATAAATTATGCTACCGGATTTGTTCCCCGGTTGAAATCATCTTTCCAATGATGTAAATTCAAAGGAATATTAAAGTGAAGTTAGAGATCGGATTTGTTCCCCGGTCGAGATGATCACTCTGTGCATAAATAGAATTAACGGAAATTAATTGCATAAGTATTGTCTTATATAAGTTTGATATGTTTTGTACGAAAACAAATACCTATTTGCCATGATTGATTTATGAGAACATTCACTTATATTGTTATCTGACAAGAAACATGATAACTGATAAGAATCTGATTAGAAATAGTTTCCTACAGTTTGAAAATTGTGTAGAAGCATTTATTCACCCAATATTGTTAAAATTGGTGTATATCAGACTTTCATTTTTTCTGATAGCCGAGAGCCGTGCAAAAGTTAGTTGTTCAAATAGTGTGAGTTCATAGACGCACGCTAGCCACGTACTTAGGAGGCCAAATATATAAAAATTTAAATATTTGTAATTTCAGCAATTTATATAAAAATGACTTGTAAAACATTTCAGGTTGATTGTACGTGATAAAAAAGGTGAATTCTGTGTTATTTTTATGTGAAAATTCCTGTGTATAAGTGAAATAATGATAGTTTTGTATAAGAAATTTAAAAGTGTTTTAAATAGTGAAATAAATAGAGAAAATGTAAATTAAACTATTATATTAGTTAACATATGTATAATTTCAAGTGGAAAACATTGTTTTAACTTTCTATGTTAAATATTTAAGAAATTTCGACTTTGAACTTGTGAGTAAAATAGGCATGTTTTGTTAAATAAATAATAGGTTTTTCGTGATATGAAAATGTAATGTATATCGTAGTGTAGATATTGTTTTGTGCTATCTATACAGGTAAATTATGTTGATGTATGACTTATGCAAATAAAGTAATTAAGTAAAACGTGAGAGATTAATAGAACGTTGATGTCTTCTTCACGTGTCTTAGGGCACATGGAGGTTTCGGGCCTCGGGGTAAGCCCCCATTACCCGTGCTGTCCTCGCGGTCCACCACTATGGACCGGTCCTGGGAGCCTTCTAAAGAGAGAGAGTAATAGAACAAATTCATGTAATTGAGTTGCGCAAGCGCGCGAATGGCGCGGCTCACTTTCGCGTATAGCTCTGGGGTAGCTTAGTAAATGAGTTTTATTGCAATTCGTTCGGGAATCCTTCGGAAAAGTTCGGGAATCCTTCGGAAAAGTTCGGGAATCCTTCGGGAAGATAGTTTGGGAAAAAAGTTCGAGAAAAGTGAAAAACCAGCAGTCAATAAGAAGAGTATAGGGAAGTGATAGGGAAAAAGTGACCCGTAATCCCCGTCTGAACCTACTCGCTGAAAAGGAAGAGGTTATCGCCCTTGTGTGTTACTCCGTTGCGGAGATCACATACGTTGTTCCCGAACCCAACGTAGGCGTTATAGGAGGCCAGATCGAGAGAAGCCTCGATTCCTCCCTTCTGTTTCTTAGTTTAACGTTTGTCTGGTTCCTTTTCAATTGGACCTTCGGAGCCGGATTAAAAGGACCACCCGAACCCCGCCAGCTGGATCAAGGAACCAGCTGTGGACTGCTGGTTGTGGAGAAAGAAGACCTTCGGAGCCGAGTGAAGATCAGCAACCGAAGGAAGCCGGAGGTTTGAGCTGAAGCAATAGGACCAAAGGCCAGAAGACCAGGACGTCAGCACAGAAGTTCGATTGTCTGAGGCATGATATCTTAATTTATAAATTAAAATTCTACGGATTTGAAGGAAAAGAATTGAAAATAATGCAGTCTTATCTTAACAATCGAACGCAAATAGTTAATTTAAATAATACTAAGTCTGATTCACAACATAGTTACATTGGCGTTCCGCAGGGCTCTATCCTGGGACCATTGCTGTTTTTAGTGTATGTGAACGACCTTGCAAATAATTTACCTGACTGGGCGATGGTTACACTATTCGCGGATGATACACAGGTTGGTGTTAAAGATAAAAATGCAGTCCAAGTATCCAAGAAGACAAATGATATTTTAAATATGCTTAAAAATTGGTTTGAAACAAACGGAATAATTTTGAATGCAGAAAAAAGTATCATTATTAATTATGCAAGCAAAAAAACAAATAAAGTCACAAAAAGTGACGTTACATTTTTAGGGTGTACTTTCGATTCCACTTTAAGTTATGAAACCCATATAGATAACGTCTGTAAAAAGTTAGCCAGTGCTAATTACGCTTTATTGAAGCTTAAGCCCATTATTGACAAGAAAACTCTTATATCCGTCTACTTTGCATATTGTCACTCCATTATTAGCTACGCGATTACGATATGGGGAAACGCTACACAAATTGAAAGAGTACTGATTTGTCAAAAAAGGTCGATTAGAATTATACATGGATTGCAAAGATCGACATCAGCTAGAGCCTATTTCCAAAAAGCGAAAATTATGACTGTCGTTTCGTTATATATTTATAGATCGCTTCTAGAAGTACACCAGGAAAAAAGTAAACTACCAATGAAGAAGCACGTACATAACTACAATTCTAGAAATCGCGAAAGATTAGTTGTTCCAAGAACCAGATTAGTCAAAGTGTTCAAGCAAGGTTTTGCAATAAAAATTATAATGTACAATAAATTGCCAATAGAAATAACAAGACTTCCGCTAAATGCGTTCCGACAAGTAATAAAAACATTCTTTTTAAATCACGCTTTTTACAACATAGAAGAATATATGCAATGTTCATTTTTTGACTTGTTTGACACATAAAATAATGTACTGTAAATGAGATGTATCTTAATTATATTATTGTAATTGTATAATTTGTAATTTTAACTATATTATTGTATCTATATAATTGTAATTGTAATTTTGACGTACCAATGTTACGTAATGTAACGTAATGGCAAATAAATAAATAAATAAAAAATAA